ATTTAACCTAGAAGCTGTATCTAAGAAACAAGGTGGACAGAAAGTCCTGATGCTGAATGGGAAATCCACACCATCTAGTCAGGCAACCTGGTCCAAAAAGTTAAACAAAATGAAAAAACTTCTATCCCAATGGCAAAAAACCCTCAGAACTACAAATATTAAATCATTTTTTCAGAATTCCAAATCCAAATGCAGCTACTTATCCATAAAAGCACTTACATTTAATATGCTGACCAGCATTTTAATGCTGCTTTTGCCCTTGAAAAATCAATTCTAACACCCTTCACCGGGTAGTATTTTGTATAGATATGCAAAATTGCAAATTGTATAGATATGCAAAATTTTCCTCTTACTGTATGGTGTCCCCTTCAATTTCTAATTAAATTATTTGTCCAGCAGTAAAGAAATAAAATTCTTAAAGCAATTCTTCAGTGACTACAAAGAAGTTTTCTGAGCCTTAAAACCAAAACGGGTCATTTCTTCCTGTTTCACACACTTTACCTCTTTGTTTCATCACTTGCAGAAACTGGAGCGGGCCAAAGGACGGAAGTGGGAATAACTGTACTTGCACGTATTAGCAACAGAGCAGTGAGCACCACACTAGCTTAAAACGCACTTACTAAATACCACAGAAATCTGGTTCTTTCTCCACTGCAGAAAATGAAAGTATAAGCTGAATACAGTTTGAACAGCTCCTCCAAAAAGCAAACCAGTTGGTTTGTACGAAAGGCAGTGCAAAATGAGAGCTGGACCAGTAACCGTCAAAGCAGAAACGTATCCTAAAATGTGCAGCGGCAAAGCAAGCTGGCAGGGCATGGCACCTTCCGTCTCGAAGACCACTTCACAGTGACGTAAGAGATGCATCGCACCGAGAGCTACACGCAACTGGCAAGCAGGTCAGAAGGGATGCATGTCCACCTTCCCAAGTCTTCCCGAATCACGTGCTCGTTTCTGATCCCCTTTTTCCTAAACCTCCGCCTTTCCGATGGGAATAGAAGCCAGTCTGCAACATTTAAATTCAGATTCCACACAGTAGGGACTTCACAGTGACGTAAGAGATGCATCGCACCGAGAGCTACACGCAACTGGCAAGCAGGTCAGAAGGGATGCATGTCCACCTTCCCAAGTCTTCCCGAATCACGTGCTCGTTTCTGATCCCCTTTTTCCTAAACCTCCGCCTTTCCGATGGGAATAGAAGCCAGTCTGCAACATTTAAATTCAGCTTCCACACAGTAGGGGAAAAAAAAACCCCAACCAAACCCAAACCAAAAAACTCCAAAAAACAAACAGCAAAACCCCAAAAGCACACTTGTGAAAATGGCACGGGTGGTTGTTTTAAAACCACGGCGATCTCCATGTACGTTAGAGCTAACAGCGCAGGGCACTTGGAACACACCAGTTCCCAGACAAAACCCAAACCCTTCTCAGATACGTACAAATTCCCCCCCCCCCCGAAGACCTGTCAGCCAGGCTCTCCCCAAACACGCCCCCGCGCCGCTCCCGCGCCAGGCAGCCCCCCCGCG